AAATGTGAGATAATGAAAAGATGGAAATAAAGTGTTTGTACATGGGGAGGGGAGGAGGGGGTGAAGGGAGGGCAGGGACAAGAGGAAAAAATGAGAACCAAGACTTGTCATGTAGAGGTACAAGATCCCAACAATGAATGTAACTGTACTGTATACCTAAAATGTACCAGTAAACTCAATTAAAGCTGAAAAAAAAAAAAAGAAAATGAATATGGCGGGGGGACCCATATACAAATCAGTATGGAAATTTCTCAATAAAATGAAAATAGAAATAACATCTGATCCAGCTATACCCGAAAGAATTAAAGATGGCACACCTTAGGGATACATTCATATCTATATTTTTAACAGTACAAGTCACAAGAGCTAAACTGTGAAAATGGCCTAGATGTCCATCAACAGATGAATAGATAAAGACAATGTGGTATAGATACACAACAGAATATTATTCAGCCATAAAGAACAATGAAATGTCCTTTTCATTGGAAATGAATAATACTAGAAGCCATAATGGCAAGTACAATAAGTCAAACTCAGAAAGTTAAATACTGCATCACATGACTTCTCTTATAAGAGAAACCTACAAAATAAAGAAATAAAGTAGAAAAGACTTTTCTGGAAAAAGAAAGGGGTGGGACAAGGAAGGAAAGACGGGGTAATGGCAACAAACAAAATATGTTAAATGTATATACCAGTTTCCCAAAATGTACTTCACCATTCCACATTACTAATATACTCTATTAAAAAAATTAAAGAAATCCTAAGGCTAGATGGACACAGAATAACATATGTCAAGGACATATGTTAATAACATATGTAAATGAAAATAACTACCAACCAAGATCACTACACATACCAAGTCTATCCTCCAGCATCAAAGGAGAATTAAGGACCTTCCAAAAACACGAGACTAGATTTATAAAAGATGTTTAAGGGAGTCCTTAACATACAGAAGTAGAAGAAAGATAAACTACCACCATGATAATAAATAAAGTATAAAACCCAACAGAAGAGATCAAATGAAAAACAGAAAAGAACAAAACACTATAATACAGTCAACCATCAAACCACAAAGACAATTGAAGAAATAAACAAACATGTAAAACAAGTAGAAAAAAAAATCAGCAAAATGATGACCCCATCTCAAAAAAACCAAAAAAACCAGGAAAAAAAAGCAAAAAAAACAAACTTTTGTATTATTATCTGTTTTTCTTTTTGTAAAAATCTTTTTAAAGACTTGTATTCTGAGTAACTACTTTGAGGATAATGATATACAGTTTTAAATACTGTTATTCTCTTATTCTGATATAAAATTTGTTTTATATTTTTATAAAATGAAAAGGGAAAAATAAATAAAAATAAAAATAAAAAGCAGAGCGTGCATAGAAAAAAAATTAGTGAAGTTATGAAGAGAAGAAATCCTTACACTCTTGGTAGGAATGTAAATTACTATGACCACTATTGAAAACAGTACGAAGACACAAAAAATTAAAAATAGAACTACTATACAATCAATCAGCTATCCCGTGTGTGTGTGTGTGTGTGTGTGTGTGTGTGTGTATAAAAATGTGTAATCAGCATACAAAAGAGATGCCTGCATATTCACTTTTATTGTGGCCCTATAACAATAGCTAAGTAAACGAATAAGCCTAGGCAAGCATAAACAGATGAATAGATAAGGAAAATATCTAACACACTCACACCCACAAATGGAATATTCTTCAGTCATAAAAGAATAAAATCCTATCATTGATATCATGAGTGAAATAAGGCAGACACAGAAAGACAAGTATTGATGTTCTGTGTGCCACAGTGCCCAGGTCTGGTGGGATGGGAATGTAGCTATAAGAAAGGTTGAGGGATTTGATCAATCTATGACATATGCTCATTTGGAAGTAACACAGTAAATACCATTAATTTGTACAAATAATATGGATTACTGAGCCAGGTGTGGTGGTACTTGGGAGGCTGAAGCAGGAAGAACAAGAAAAGCTCGAGGCTAGCGTGGGCTACATAGGTAAGTCTAAGGCCAGCCTGAGCTACATGTCTCCAAAATAAATAAATTAAGTAAATAAAGTATTACTAATAATAAAAGTAAATGAAACGTTAAGATTTTAAAGCATTTTAAATTTTCAGATTAGGACTCTTAATCATACTACCAACAAAATTAATTATACAACATAACGATTCACCTAAAGAAATTTTAAAAACTATTCAGTTTCCCTATTTAATAAGTAACATATTAGCTAGCTTTCAAAAATATAGAAACATCACATTCAGAAGTAATTACTTTCCCTTTGCTTATCTTTCTTTCTTTCTTCTTCCATAAAAACGGGACTTTGATTAAAACGAATTTTTCTGGCAGTAAAATGCATAATCATTAGCAAACACTCAAAAGTATTTGAAACTTGAACCATCACAGACAGCTAATGAATTATACAAGAAAAGCTGTTTTACATGACTATACAGACACAATTATTTTTACTTAAGTATTACTACTCAGCTTAATCATCTTATTTGTTACCTTCACTTAAAACGATATTTTATTTAAAAAAAAAAAACTTAGAAAGAATATAGATTTTTCCACTGAGGTATACATCTGAAGTAAGGATCTATTTAGGAACCGTTAACATTTTTCAGCATATCAGTAGGACCAATGAGACACCCTTCAGAAACCTATATTCACTGAGCAATCAATCTACTAGGAAAGAACTCATTCTAAGATAATATCCCCAAGGCCACAAGTCTGTTGAGGACAAGGAAAGGATTCATTCTAAATTTTAAATGGTGCTATTTCCCACTGCACACCCCAAGTCCTAAAGAAAGAAGCTATACAGTAAAGGAACGTGTTACATTTGTAGATATGAAACACTGAAACCATAAGGCATCATCAGCACTCTCAAAATAGATGAGGAACTATATATTCAAATACCTCCAGAAATCAGACACTAACATCAAGTAAGTGGCTTGGGAGAGGAGTGTGGTGATCTATACACTACAGGCCTCGCCAGCTAGAGGGAATTCTATTCAGCTCCTGGATGCTGACTTATTTCTACCTCTTGCCCTTGCTTCTCTCTGTATTTTATGCCTTTTTATTAAACATGTGATACAGGCATTTTTATCAGTAAATCTATTTACCCACAGCTTGCCTGGTGGGTTACTTAAGAGGCTACCACTGAGTTAGTGTAATTTACTACATGATACGCTTCTTCAACTAACTCTAAAAAACATTAGACACGACTGCAGAGTTTCTCTTTTCGAAAAATTTGTCTCAGGTCATCACTCATGGTTCTCAGGTCCAAGTGTTCCCCAGGTCCTCTAGAATGGAGTGCTCATTCCCCAAATTTCCATGACTTCTCCTTCACTTCCCTCAGGTCACTGCTCAACTCTCACCTTACCTCAGAGGACTTTCCTTTCTTTTCTTTTATTAATAAAAATTTCTGTCACTTCCTCAAATGCATCAAACCTTAGCATTTCCTTTATTCCTTGATCTGCTTTATTTTTCTCCATAGTTCTGGCCCAACAGTTATGGCCTAACTGCGTACCTTAACAGTTGTTGGTTTGTTTATAGTTTAACTCCCTAAGCTCCAAAAAGGCATCATTATACCTTCACCATTTGGGAGGAGGGTATAATACCAGAAAGGTGGGTGACGGTGAGGCCACAGAGACTGTTTGTGGTAATCATGGTCTTGACAGGAAAAAATTAACTAGTAAACAAAACTTTACCAGAGAATCCAGGAAAATACTCTCTGAACATCTGAAGCATGTGATCAGAATAACATCACTGGTCATTACAGAAATAAATAATGCTTCCTACTATGAAGTACTAAAAATACACCATAACTTTTGTGACTTGCCTGCCAAAAGCATATAACCTATATATACTCATGGGAAAACACATGAGAAAACCTGATATTAGGAACATTTTACTAAAAAAGAAAGAAAAAGCTATCTTATATTCTTCAATTACCAATGGTGTAAAACACAAAAACTCAGGACTGTTCAAGATTAAAGGTAACCAAATAGACACAACTGAATCAATGCATAATTCTGGATTTTATTTTGTTAGAAATGACAAATATTGTGATAACTAGCAAAACCTAATATAGTCTGTGGATTACATAAGTCCTCCATCAATGCTGATTTCTTGGCTGATAATTACTTGGTCAAGTAAGAGAAAGTACTTGTTATTAAGCAATGCATACAGAGGTATTGGCAGAGAAACAACAATACTATGTCCACAATTAACACTGAAGTGAAAATATTAGTATATGAAAGAAAAGATAAAACAAACATACTAAAATGTTACCTTTAGTAAATCTGACTGAACAATATATGGAAATTATTTGTATTATTCCTGCAATTTTCCCATAAGTCGGAAATTATGTCATAATGAATTTTTGAAGTAAAAATCAAACATTAAAAAGGTTCAAAAATTATGAGGAAAATAATATTTTCAACATACAATTTTCTCAAGAGTGACTCCTATCTCAGATTTCAAAACATGATCTCTGTAAGTTCTCCTTTCGAATTCAAAACTAAAATGTATAACTACAAAAGAAGAAAATATATAGTAGTGACAGACCTAGAGCACAAGTTCTTTACTAATACTGTCTATTGGACTATAACACTCTAGATTTTGTTCCTACTTTTTAAAAATAAATATCATGGAAGAAAAATATAATAACACTGGTGTTTAAAAGATACCATTTGCCATATTAAGATAATCTGAAAAATACATCATAGTTTAAGGATATCACATACATCATACCACTGAAGCATCATGAAATATTAGAGGAAAAAAACCTTAGAATAGTATAAACATAAAAGAACTGGTTTTATTTATTTAAATGTAATGTCAATCACCCATTTCCAAAAGAATAAAAGCAAGGCTGGGGATTTAGCTCAGAGGTTCCACCACCTGCCTTGCAAGGGCAAAGACCTGAGTTCGATCCCCGGTACCAAAAAAAAAAAAAAGAATAAAAGCAAAGCAAAATTACCTTCATGGACTGTAATGCCACAATTGTCACACTGAATTATTTCATCAGCATCCTCACTATTATCTCCGAGACAAACACAGCAAATCAGAATATGGTCCATTTTTTGAGAACTCCAGTTTTGACTCTTCTCAAGAATCAGCGAGTCCTAACATTAAAATATGAGAAAAACCACATTTAAATTAAAAAGTAATTTGAATAAAATTCTCACTATTAATTATTTTTACACTTCCTAATTTGTCGTTATTCCATTCTTTTAATAATTTCAACGTGTGCTATATTAGAGAACCACACATCCTTGTCAAAGGACTAAGCACCTTTTGAATTATTCACTTCTCTGCAAGTTCCATTTTCTCTCCTCTGTGAAATAAAAAACAATGTATGCAAACAACTCCATCTCCTTAGTCATTCTGCTTTTTTTCTTCAAACTAGAAGAAAAAATTAACCCATAAATAATTATTAATTCTATATATGGATTTTAAAAGTGTAAGTGTTCCTACATTTTTGGATCTTTTAATGCTTCCTAAGAAAGACAAGACATACATATATGAAACAGGGAGAAATAAGTTCAAGATCACATATATGCAAGTGTGCATGTAATGGCTGAGTTACAAACTATATTCTATAAGTGCTGAGGAATTCAGAAATTCCACAGTTATCAAATTACTGGATGATACATCAGTGACAGCCTGAACAGGCATAAACAAGTTCAGAAAAATCATGTACATAAGGCTCTAGGTTGTCCAGCTGCTAGAAAAACTACAGTATTCTATTAGGTTTAGCTAGTACAAAGTGGTAATAAAGCTATCTAGCTAGTTGTAAAGGAGAATACATGCATATAAAAGGATAAAATTCAAGAAAGAGAAATATCTTCGTTTTCATTTAATCCTTCTGCACTGTGGATTTAAATTTTAATAAGAAAAGTATTCTTGTCATATTTAATAGATTGAGCTCAATATTACATATAATGAAAGATGTAATTCCACAACTCTGGGAGACTAAGGCAGAAGGATCAAAAGTTCAGTCATAGACTGGGCAACTCAGTGACTAAGCCAGAGCCTGTCTCAAAATGAAAAAAGAAAAATATCTGAAGATGTAGCTCCATGCAAAGATCCTGGGCTCAGTTCACAGTAGCAAAAAACAAAAAGATGGCATGTTGAACCTGACCACATTCAAGAACAAAATAAATTAGTTCCATACCATACATTCATAAAATGTACTTTGATCTATATTTTTACAGTCTCTTCAATTCTACCAATATCCAAAGGAAACATATGGAGCCAACATTTCAATATCAATTTGTAAATGAAACTTGAAAACATCTAAAGATCACAATTAATAATTTTTTCAAATATATTTTGGGTACAACATCAAGAATTACAGCTTATCTGTAAAATAAATCAGAAAAGAATGCAAAAATCAACACAGAGTTAAGGTCATTTTCCTGAGGATTCTAGTGCTTCAAAGGTTTTGCATTTTACTTTTTTTTATTATAAAAACTAGTCTGAGGCTAACAAATAAGTAACAAATATAGCTGAAAATAATACTTTTTAAAAAACATATTTATTTAACTGTACTTTGGTACAATAAAAAAAACAAAAATTTGCCCAGATTTTCAAACCATTAGCCATGCTTCCAAAGTAATAGCATTTGCTGGGCATGGTAGTGCACACTTAAATCCAGTACTTGAGAGGCTCAGGCAGGAGGATCACTGCAAGTTCAAGGCTAGTGTGGGCTACATAATGAGTTCAGGGCCAGCCTGAACTACAAGGCAAAAACCTGCTTTAAAAAAATAATAATAATAAAAATCAAAAGTAATAGCATTTGAATTAAAGTAAAGCACTATTGGGTTCATTCTCAGCTCTCACTAGCTGGTGAACTTTGAAGGTGTAATTTCCTCACAGGTAAAATGAGGATGATAAAAATAACACCTACCTCACAAGGTTACTGTGAGAATAGAATATGTGGCAAGGGTATCTCTGGCACATGCTAGACACTCAATAAATGTTCATTCCTTCTTCTTCATTTCCTCTGCACTACTTCCAGGTAGTACAAAGAGAAATTTGAACTGACAACTTATTACACTGGGATATCGTCCTTAGAACCACAAAAGAAGTGACAAACCTCGACAAACACTAATAATTTAAATATCATCCCAAGTTCAAAAAGACATGTTTTTCTTAATACATCACATCTAGGTTAAACAATTCACAGACTAGGAAGCAACCCTGCAAACTACCAAAATTTGACAATCAAGAGACCACTTGACTTAATAGACTGCGCTGACATTTCTCTGGTGGAATTAAACTATCCAGCCCTGGAAAGATAGTTTGCCCATAGGTGAAACAATATCCTTGGGTCAGAAAAAAATAGCATCAATGGTCAGCCCTAATTCCTCTATTTTCTTATTTTGCTCAGAAAAACAGCAAATGTCTAAATTCTATCTCTACATCAATCTCTCTAAATATTATCACTTAGAGGCTAAGAAAACCAAACTAACTGGTATTTCTGAACCTCTGATCCCACCACATGAAACTCTTACTAGAACTGTAAGGCAAAGAGGGAAATGTGCAACACTATGTCCCTATATGATTCCCTTATAAGGCTGGCAGAAAATGCTTCAATGGGAAATTTAAACACATTCTTTGAAAAACGTACTTTTCTATAACAAACAAACATAGGTTTAAGCATACTTATGATCAAATGAATATAAGATCCAATTTGTTACCAATTTTTGTTAGCATATTTCTGAAAATATCTATCACCTTTCAAAAGAAAATAGTTAAGCTAAAATTCTTAAAATAAAATTTTTAAAATACTGCTTTATATAAAAGTCAAGAAAACGAGTTTTGAACGACAAGAGGATATCACCTAGGAAATAACTAGGATAGTAAATGGAATCTAATATTATTATTAGGATAACAGATTACTACAGTAATAAATCAGTGAATACTTATTTCATTTTATCACTTGGAAAAAGAAAGTCTTAATCCCACAAATGTTAATATTGTCCAGTGTTTTTCAATGGGCTCTAAAATGTTTAGCATTCATCAATACACGTATTCCACAGAGACGACTGCAAGTAATATATAAAATGGGCTAAATTTTACCAATGTTTGTGATTAATGGGAGGAAATTCCAACACACTTCTATAAAACAAGCCAGAGTTAAATGAGAAAAAAAAATTAATGTACCAATAAGTCTTCCTTTGAGCTTCTGAAGTTTAAAATAATTTTTGTTTTGTTTTTTTTTTGATACAATGTCTTATACAGTTCACACTAGAACTCACTATGTAGCCCAGCCTGGCCCCAAACTCACGGTGATCCTCCTGTCTCAGCCTCCTGAAGGCTAGTATTACAGACATGTGCCACCATGCCGAGCTCTCTGTTTCATATTTATAAAACTACATTTTCAGCTATCCCTACTACAAAGTGATGTTTAAAGCTTAACAGAACAATAAAACTTCAAATATATTCAACTATATACTTATTAGCTATCTTTAGTAATTATCACTAGCTAAACAGAAAATTCAAGATATAAACATTGGCCACCAAGCAACAAAAAGATTAACTTGTCATTTTTTTTACAAAAACCAATCATATGAAAATTTAGAAATATAAGTAACAGTAGATACTGATTAGTTTTTAATTAAATTTTCATATCTAGTTTTAAGTAGAATTAGAATAATCAAAAAATATTGATGATATTGAAGATGTGAATAATACAGTCATCAGTACAAACAGGTATCAAACTTCTAGGTGGTGTTATTCTGGGGAAAATTAACTTGTCATAAATTCTTCTATTTGGTTACTTTTATAAAGAGTGCTTTAAAATCTTCTTCCTGAAATGTCTTTGTAACTATTATCCTAAACACAGTCTCACTGGTGTGGTTTAAAAAAATAAATAGCACATGTGGTCTTTAAGTGCATCATAAAGGTTAGCCTAAAACTCTGAAGCAGTATGTTATGAACAGATAATATATATACATTTTATGTGGCAAATTTCTAAACATAGGCATGTGTCCTCCAAACCTCAGCATAAATCTAATCCACACTGCCTCTATCATTAGCTAGACTACTTTTATGAATGTCAGCCTAATAAAAATGAAGCAAGGAAGTTACTCAAAAGTAAACATTCAACAGATACAGAATATTAAATGCTATAAAAATCAACTGAATATGTCGAAATTAGAACAGTAAACTTTGCATTTCCGTATTTCTGATTCCCCAAAGTAACAATAATATGGAACAGCTTGTGCTATACCATTAAAAAATACTACATTATATTCTTAATGCTGTTTCCTTTATTTAAAGATAGGAATTAGGATGGCACTGGAGGCAGGCAACATTCTTCATAGGAAAGTGGGCAACCGAAAAGCTAATCAGTATTTGTAATACAAACTATAAACTGTTTCATCTCTACTGGCATATGACTACTGATAGCTTGCTATAAATTTTGGTTAAAAAAAACAAAACAAAACAAAACAAAAAAACCAAACAATTTTTCATGGAATGTAAAGTAGATAATCACTGCTATAAAATATTTGTAAATAGAAAAATGTGAAAGAACAAATAAAGCATAAAGAGGAAAATCTATCAGTTTAAGGTACTTCAAGATAGAAAAAAATAATAGTAAGTGGTAAAGAAGTAAATTTTGACGATAAACACATTAACAGAAATGACAGATTATAGTTCCACATGTGATGTAATAGATACATCTACATGTACGACAACAACTCAATCTTTTGAAGAAAAACATATACATAAACACAGAGACAGACACGGATGTGTTTTTTTTTTTGGTACTGGGGATCAAACTCGGGCCCTTGTGCTTGTGAGGCAGGCAGCAGAACCACTGAGCCAAATCCCCAGCCCGACACAGATGTGTTTGACTGAAGAAGAGTCTTGCACGCTGGCATCTCTGGACCAAAAGGACAAACCTAACTTTCAGTAGTAGAACTTCAAGTGGAAGAACTGGGCCATTACTGTAGTTTTATTATGGCAAAGTTTGTTCTATGATGGAAACTTTTTCATTTCTTTGTAGAGACACTTCTTTCACTAAATAAATATAAACAAAAGTTTATATTTATTCCCATACATCTACAGCAAAGATTTGGTGACTACACTGATGATGAGTGCTACAACTGGTAAAGGAATTAAAAACTTTAACATGAATCTGAGTTTATTACGCTATTGTCCTGCTCCAAAGTATTCTAAAACTCTACAATTTTATGTGGATATGGAAAAATGGTGACCCAAATTTTCCAAATCAACTCAGCATCATTCAGCAGTGCTTTGAATAATCAGGATAAAGGAAAAAAAAGAGTAACGGAAAGCATTTATGATTTACCAAATCTATAGATAGGAAAATATTTCTCGAGGACGGAGACTGTGAGTTCCTTGAGAACGGTGATAAGTGGTAAGTACTCAATAAAGGTTTGCTGAATAAATGTTACATTTAGGGCATTCATTTACTCCCAGAGTTAAACAGGATTTTAAGGAAGCCACTTAATATAATGAGTAGAGTGGTTTAGAGAATTCCCTTTTCCCCAGACAGACAGAGATCAGAAAAATTGGGTTGATCTACCTCATTACTCTTGCTTTGAGATAGTGTCAGGCTATCATTGGTTAGCTCCTCATCATCAGCACTGTTTCTGCTAAGAACTTTACTCTTCTTCTTCTTGCAACCCCCTTCGCTAGCAGGACTGCCATGGTCTTCATCATGGCCTTCATCGTTCTCATCTTCATCACTCCCACTCCCCTCATCTTCATCATCCTCATTGTCCCCATCACTTCCCTCTTTCTGGGATGCTGATCTCCCTTTTCTCTTCACTACAGTAGGTCGCCAGTCATTGTCATCCTCACTGTCATAGTCATCCATGTCATTGAGCTCTTCCATGGACACAAAATCCAAAAGTGGTCGGTTTCGACGCAGATTCCATTTTTTTGGCTCACTGACTTGTTCCTCTATGGTGGTTGTCGTAGTGGGGGCAGAAGGGGATGTGCTGGCAGCAGGAGGGCTTGCAGCTGGTGCAGTGGCAGCTGCTGAAGCAGCCACATTATCAGATACTGTTGCTTTTTCTTTTTCCTTCTCTCTTTCCTTCTCTTTTTCTTTCTCTTTTTCTTTTTCCTTCTCCTTTTCTTTTTCCTTCTCCTTCTCCCTTTTCTTTCTAGGTCTCTCTCCATTTTCTTCTTCCTCCTTCTTTTCCATTTTGATTAACTGTTTGTCGGATGACAGTACTTCCTCTTCTGAAGAATTTTTAAGTGGTTCCTCTTTTACTTTAATATCTTCATTCAGTTCTTCCTCTAATATATTTTCTTCAGAATCACTACAGGAACCTTCTCCACTGTCCTTTGAAGGATCTTCACTTCCATTACCACTCCCTTCAGAATCTGTTAAAAATATGAGAAAAAAAAAACCACACATATGTATATACATACACACACACACACACAACGCTGACACAAATGAAACCACCAAAATTTGTGAATAACTTGCAAAACAATATAAACAACTTTAAGTCAAAGAATGGTAGACACTCCCGATCTGACTAAATAAACCAATGAAGTTGATATAATGGTTTAATTCAATATAGCACTAATGAAGATGAAAATATATATATATATAACTAAATTAAAATATATTTTTAAAAGAAGAGCACTATTTTGTGTCATACAGCTCATGCTCTATCTGGTATCTTGAGGCAACTTGTTTCTGACAGTAAATTGGCATTTTCAAAAACTGAACACTTGATTTTAACTTGCTGATAATACAGAAAAAAATTCTATTTTTACATCTTCCTTTTATAAACCATATGGACTTACAAGTAATGAGTCACATCCAAAATAAGATAAATCTGCTCCCCTAAAAACTGTTTCATTAATTTTAATCTTAACCTACCAAAATAAGCAGAAATATTTATGATAATCAACTGGTGCCACATTTCTAATATACAAAATCAATGTTAGATCAAATACACAGGCGAGAACAGATAATGGCAATGGCACAGAAAGTGGAAGATACAAGAGAAGCTATCAGTTTTCTTGCTTATTAGGATACTATTCATATTAATAAAAGAGTCACGTACACTTACGAAACTTCTAGGTAATAACAACTATAGGCCCTAAAGTTGAAGAACTTGAAGAAGTAATGAATACATCTTGGAAATCAAAAGCAACAGTAGTTACTGAAAAGACAGACTGTAGACAATGAAGAGCTTATGCAGGCCTATTTCTAGAAAGCTTCCTCCATTCCTGCCTATGGCAGCCAAGTCTTCAATCCAACACTACTCAGTAACCTTCCAGGCCTTCCTTATGCACAATCAAACAAATAAAAATTGAAAATATTTGGAAGGATAAATGGGAGTACAGGAAAAATGGGGACTAAGATTTTACACCAATAGACAAACCTATAGGAAAATGAGAAAAGGGTAATGATTAAAACAGTGAAGTAGTATTTTTCTACCATGTTAATTTCTATGGACTCTACTTCCCTTAACTTCTCTAATTAACTAGCAACTGGTGTGGTGGCAGCTGAAAAAAGTCATAACAAGTATGTGCTATCTAAAGCACTTCAGAAATCTTACACAAATGACTGGTAATAAAAATATTTTACAAGTTAAATCATATAAAAATTAAAAACTAACAATCAGTAGATGTTGGCCAACCCTATGAAATCAATGTCAATCTCAAGAGCATATGTACGCACTGCTTACTCTGAAGTATTCAGAAAAAAACATTTCCATCCGAAACAATCTTGCACTGGTCAGCAGGCAATAATGAAGGTCAACAATTCCCTACCTAAAAACTTTCAAACCAGATGTTTCAAAATTCAGAATTATTTTAGAAGAGTAGCACAGTATATTACACTAACACCCCCAATGACATCTATGGTATCATTCTATGGTACCATCAACAGTATTTCTGAAGTGGAAAGCATAAATATTCAACAACCTATGAGAAGTACTACAAATAAACTGCCAGTTCTAGTCAGGTCTTGCTAGATACTGAATTTTTGCCAAACTTAGGAAATATTTTTTGGATTTCTGACTTCCTTGAATTTCGAAGAGTGTGGCACCATTATCATTCACAAACAGGTGAACTGTTTCCACTTCAAGAGTTCTATAAATCATTAAGAACGTTTTCATTTTTCAAACTACTCATAATTAAACCCAAAAGAGTCAGAAAAATCATCTCTGGTTAAAAAAAAAAAATAAGAATTTCTATATAAATAATTAATAAGCGAGCTGACTTAACATTTCAAAGGTAAAGAAGGATCTCTTATACACATGACTAAAATATATTTTAACACAAGCTATACTATAATTAAGAGAGCTAGAAGATGGGGATAAAAGAAAAGGTACTTTTCTTCTAGATCAATTTTCTAGAAGTATTTTTCCAATCAGATCTGAATAGCAGATACAAAAGTATAAGATTACCTGGAGCAGAAGTATGGGTACCTAAAAAAAGTGAGACCAACTTTGTCATTACTTGGTAAATTTTACAAAATGTCAAGGATTTTTGATTTTTGTTTTTGGTTTCCATTGCCAAAGTCAATTAATTAATTTTAAATGCAGAAGTATGGTAGTTTCCTTAATTCTATTTTGGTCTTATGATTATTGTGATTAGACAGCTTTTATATTCCCCAGAACTAGGACTAAACGCAGGGCCTCACACACGCTAGGCAATGAGCTATTACTCCAGCCCTTTCTAAATTTTAAACAGGATCTGAATAAACTGCTAAGGCTAGCTTTGAATTTGAGATCCTCCTGTTTCAGCCTCTAAATACCTATGATTATTATAAGTACGCACTACTATGCCCTGGCCCCACAGTGTAATTTTTTTTTCATGTGTGTTACTAAGACTTGAACCCAAGGCCTTTGCACTGAGTTACATCCCAGCCCTTTTTTAATTTTTTTTTTGAGACAGTATCTCACTAAATCACTAAGTTACTTCCTGAACTAGAACTTGCAAGCCTTCTACCTCTGCAATTCAGAGGGTTAAGACTACTGTTATGCACTACCATATCTGGCTTGAAAACAATTTTTTAAATTAATTTAAATATTTTACATTGGTTTGTTACTACAAGAACATGAACATTTTCCACAAATCCAAATCCTAGTAGCTTGCCAAATCCTTTATTCATCAAATATATCATACTATTCATACTCAAACTATAGGGGTCACACATATACTAAATTTTACCTTTCTTTGATCTCTGAAAAATAACTACATCTGATTAGTTAACACTTCTTTTTAGAATATATGCACTTGAAGAATGGAGAAAAACAGTGTTTATATCCATAGCTAGATAATAATGAGAAAACAATGTCTTTAGCTACCTACATTTTTACAGGCTAAAATGAAAAACACTCCTATTACTGTACTACAAAATCAGAGAGTACACCACATTCCAAATCTATCATCTCTATACCCTGAAAAGATGTGGAGAAAAGAGTTGAGAAATGAGTCAGATATTTCAAATAAAGCTATCTTAGGCAATTTCAAATGTAAAATAAACTTTGTTATATTAAAAAAACAAAATTGAAATAATACTTCTATCTGGTTAAATAAAAGGTAAACCTCTCAAACACACAATACATCAGAATCTCTCCAAGAAAAAGCTATATCAATTAACAGGCAGTAAAGAACTTTTAGTTACAGAAAAGAATCTCTTCACAATATTTGATAAATAAAAATTAATGTAACTAATAACACCCATCACCACCATCATCAACAATGCTTAAGTTTTCCCCAGGATAAATATGAAACAACAAAATCATGATTCAATTCAATTTATGTTAACTTTACAAAATAAGATTTTTTTCATCAATTTCATCAAATTTAGTTGTTCTATTAATTGATACAATGCAACAAAGATTAGTAGGTACCATATATACATAAGAGATAACAAATCATTAACCTACTGTTTATTCAGAGTTATCATCTTGGAGATATATTTGACTACTCACATGTATCTCTTAATCAGCCAGTCCGGTCAACATGACTCATTCTGTCTTCTGATTCTAGTTCCACCCTGTCATATTTTCTGGGTAAATCTAAATCAGTAGCTCTCCAGTAGGGACAAATTTTCCCCCAAAAGACATGCACCAATGTCTAGTACCACTGAAGACAATGGTCACAAGATGGGGACAGCCAGGGGGAGTAGGTACACACATCTAGTAGACAGAGATGGTGCTAAATATTCTATTATGTGCAGAACAAGCCTCCACAACAAAGAATTATGCAACACAATATACCAATAGAGCTGAGATTGAAAAACCCTCATCTAGTAATAAAAGCTCTCTCAATTCTCAATAAAAATTGAGGAACTACTGATTTCACATTATACATAAAAGATAAAAACTATTTTCACTTTTATAATGTTCTAAAAACAGAGGCTTATAATTATTAACTTTGTTTAATCCCTTGCCACTCTTAATGGTAGGTCCTCCTTTAGCATTTTGATTTTTTTTTTCTATTTTATCATCTGAGAAGCACATGTGTAAAATTATGCTTATCTACTAGGATACTGATAATCTTTTGATGTTTTCTATATGTATCCTCTAAGCCTTACAAAAACACAAAAAGTTTTACAGTCAAAATTTCAGACTTCAAAATGATGATATAAAGAAACTAATGTACACAATAACTGAAGGCCACCAATCTATCCATTTTAAGTTCCAAGGAAGTCAGCAGTCCATTCAATATGTCATTTCTAGAGGTCAGGCTGAAAGAAGATATGATCAAACAGATGTTTAGCTATTTCTCCACTTCTAGTTTAACTTTCAGTTTATAAGGTAGGCTGGGATCCCATAACTTCAACATGTTTGAAAACCAGTTATAAATCTAACAGCTTATTTCCTACAAGAGTCCAAGTAAACATACTTACCTCAGACAACAGAAAAGATTCAATAGGAAACACTAGTAATATAGAGGAAAACAACATCTCTGCTGTGGGGAACACCAATGTTTCTCAATCAAAATATGGAAAATATGACCAAATTTCTTTGACTATTAATCAGTTTAAATAAAATCATTTTCTGCTAATTTCCCTTTTACAATAGCATACCAAGAACTACAAAAATAAATTTGTGATTTTAGGCCTTAGGTTAACATAAAATCCTCAAGGGCGAGGGTGATAAACTGTAAATGCAGCAGACTAGGTATTATATGACAACAAGTATAGAAAGTTATGTATTTTTTGATGTTTTTATATATCAGCCTAACAAAACTCATCCTATCAATAATAGTACTTTTCAACTATGACTCAGATTTAAGGTCAGGAAGCTCTACTTAGCCTGATACCATAAATTATTTTGATGGGGTGTTTTATATTTGTATCATTAGATTGTTTTATCCATTATAAAAAAAAGTATTGTCGGTTAATAATTCTTGGACAAACAAAAGGAAAAAAATGTCCATAAAATAAGAATTTGTCACAGAAGTAATGTTAGAATACTTAAAGTAAGTTTTGCACTTTATCCCACAACAATATTCAAAAATATTCAAAACAGCTAAGGCCTATTTTTGTTCACAACCCTATTAACAAATCAAAATTACATTCCAGCCAGGAGTATTCTTATCGGTTGAGGTCTTCTCCACTAAAACTTAAGACTTTTGAATTTTACCTATCCTCCCCCTTCCTTTCCCTTCTTTGAAAACAACAAGTATCACTAAATAGAGATAAAGAACTGAGATGCAAAGGTTGAAACAGTTAATCAAAATAAACATAAATTTTTGATTACTGGGAGTGAACTCAATTAGTAACCACAATACCCAAGTAGTTTTAGTTTAAGATTACATCTAACCACTCTTAAAATCTGATACTGAAGACTATAAATTCTGGAGTCAATTACAGTGGACCCAAAAATGTCTGAGTGAACTCATGCAAATTCTTTAAACTGAGTACCTCCGTCACCTATAAAATAGTATCTCCTTTATTGAATTATTGTAAAAGTTAAATGAGATTATGCAAACAAAAGTTTCCAATAAATCATAATACAAATTCTGTTTACTGATGTTATTAAAAGCAATAGTAACACGATACAACCTAATTTTATCTTTATCATCCCTAGCAGGGAAAAAAAAACAAAAACAAAAGAGAATCAAGAGAGACAACTAAGTAGACCAAAATCTCTGAAGGATACTTAAAAACTGTCAGATATGCCAGGAATTTATGTCAGTGGTTCCAGTGCCTGCCTTGCAAGCACAAGGATCTGAATTCGATTCCTGGTACCAAAATAAATAAATAAAAACTGTCAGATGGGCTGGAAATGCACCCTACAGGTAGAGCTCTCACCTAGCATGTAAACCCTTCATTCCTTGCCTAACCCAGGGTTCCATCACTAGCACTGAAAGGAAAATGAAGTTGTAAAAGTGATGAAATGTGTAAGGCTTCAATTTTTTGGCAAAACTAAACTTCCCCAAAAGGGGAGGCAGAAATACTAATGATTTTTATTGTTCATGTGTTCACCAGGGTTTTTCATACGAAATATTTTTTTTAATTTTTTGAGATGGAGTCTCACTACGTAGTTGAGACTGACCTGGAACTCCCTATGTAGCCCAGGCTGGTCTCGAACTCACAGCGATCCTCCTGCCTCAGCCTCCTGAGTCCTGGGATTACACCTATGCGCCACCACGCCCGGCCTTATATGAAATATTTAAACATAATTAATTTCAATTCAATCTCAATTAAAAACTTTATATATTATTATATACATGAGATATACTTAGCATTTTTGCTTTCCAATTTAATATGTGAATGTATGACCTCTTAAAATGTGGTTTTAAAAACACTAAAATTAAGGAGTAAGCATACTTTATTAAGAGAGCTAACAGACAAAAAGCAAATTCCCCTCACAAGGTGCAGAGTGAGTTGAAAAGAGCAAAACACTGATCAGGGTATTCATGATGCATAATACGCTTAGAATATTCTACCACAGGGTATCTCTTGACTTCTTCCACTGTGAAATAAGCACAAATATATCTCAAAATGCAGAATAGAGGAAATGTTTTTGTAACTTCCGAAAAAAATCCTTCCCTGCTTGCTAATTATTTGAGTTAGTATCAATGAAAACAGAAGTAATGATAGAATCTAGTGACAGGATCTTAGGGAAGTGTTCAAAATCAAATGGATAAAATAAAGTTTGTTTTTTCACTTTAAATCGGCATCTTAATCAAAACCGATTCTTAAAAAGAGAAAGAGAAGTATAAAAACAAGCGCAACTCCAGAAAGGTGGGAAAGGGCAAAAGAAAGGAAACCTTTACCTGAAGCATCTCCAACTTTAAAATCACTGTCATCTGAACTATCATAATCGAGAGCTTCTAGAAGAGAAGCTGCCAGAGGCTTCACCTGCCTCCTCTTGGAGCTGCGATCCACTGTTAAAGAGAAAAACATTTACATCGTCATTCACAAGCACACCAAACACCGGAGAGCTGTGATGCTGAGGGAAGAAGATAAAGATGATCTCGTGCAGACAATCTGTGTAACAGAGGTCTCAGCCAAAGGCGTCCGGGAAAGGTTTGGGTGGGGACGGGGAACAGCTGCAGCCCCGGGAGTGCAGCCGATGCCAACTCAAGTGGGCCAAAATCCACGCTGAACCTCTCCTTGCATCTCTTATGGAGATGTTTCTGAGGCTCCCTTTTAATCCCTAAATTTGACATTGCAACAGTCAATAGAAAACGCAAAGCCCCAGGGAGTTAAAAGCAGCGGGGTGTAGATCCGCACACCTCGGAGAGGTAGCGCCCACTCAGCGCCGCTTCCCACGGGTCCCACCCACCCTTCCCACCCTTTGAAATGGACTCTCCCCACCGAGGCCTCGGATACACTTACTAAGGAATCCGTCGTTTGGAGGACACCTAAGGAGAAGCTGCGGGAGCCCGCCGAGGTCAGGGACTAGGACCGCGAA